GAGCACACTCGGCTTTGACAAGCCGCCATTTTATCGTTTATCTCTCTCCCACTCATTGATCGGAGGCGGCAACCCGCAGCTCGTCAAAGGGACACGCACACACTCGCAAAAATACAGGCTGGGCCTCTTATTTTGGTCCGCGGTGGTAGTGGCGAGTCCGAATCCGGGTGCCCCGAAAAAACACCGGAGTCTCTCCGAACATGAGCCCTGGAAAGAACGGCCGTAAACGGGGACTAAGGATCAACTTGGATTAATCCATATGCTGTTTTGTCCTTTCTCTCTCTCGCACTCATTGCTCAGATGCGGCACGTCAAAGGAGCATACTCGGCTTTGACAAGCCGCCGTTTTATCGTCTATCTCTCTCCCACTCATTGATCAGATGCGGCAACCCGTGGCTCGTCAAAGGGACACGCACACACTCGCAAAAATACAGGCTGGGCCTCGGAATTCGGTCCGCGGTGGTAGTGGCGACCCCGAATCCGGGTGCCCCGAAAAAACACCGGAGTGCTTTCCGACCATGAGCCCTGGAAAGAACGGCCGTAAACGGGGACTAAGGCTCAACTCGGATTGGTCCATACGCTGTTTTGTCCTTTCTGTCTCTCGCACTCATTGCTCAGATGCGGCACGTCAAAGGAGCACACTCGGCTTTGACAAGCCGCCGTTTTATCGTCTATCTCTCTCCCACTCATTGATCAGATGCGGCAACCCGCGGCTCGTCAAAGGGACACGCACACACTCGCAAAAGTACAGGCTGGGCCTCGTATTTTGGTCCGCGGTTGTAGTGGCGAGCCCAAATCCGGGTGCCCCGAAAAAACACCGGAGTGCTTTCCGACCATGAGCCCTGAAAAGAACGGCCCTAAACGGGGACTAAGGCTCAACTTGGATTGGTCCATACCCTGTTTTGTCCTTTCTCTCTCTCGCACTCATTGCTCAGATGCGGCACGTCAAAGGAGCACACTCGGCTTTGAGAAGCCGCCGTTTTATTGTCTTTCTCTCTCCCACTCATTGATTAGATGCGGCAACCCGCGGCTCGTCAAAGGGACACACACACACTCGCAAACATACAGGCTGGGCCTCGTAATTTGGTCCGCGGTGGTAGTGGCGAGCCCGAATCTGGGTGCCCCGGAAAAGCACCGAATGCTTTCCGTCCATGAGCCCTGAAAAGAACGGCCGTAAACTCAACTTTGATTGGTCCATACGCTGTTTTGTCCTTTCTCTCTCTCGCACTCATTGCTCAGATGCGGCACGTCAAAGGAGCACACTCGGCTTTGACAAGCCGCCGTTTTATCATATATATCTCTTTCACTCATTAATCGGATGCGGCAACCCGCGGCTCGTCAAAGGGACACGCACGCACACTCGCAAAAAGACAGGCTGGGCCTCGGAATTTGGCCCGCGGTAGTACTGGCGAGCCCGAATCCGGGTGCCCCGGAAAAGCACCGGAGTGCTTTCCGACCATGAGCCCTGGAAAGAA